AAGGAAAATGTGGAGACTCAAAGAGGTAGGGAAGGCCTACAAAAAACCAGCAAATGAGCTTGAAATCAAATAAATAAGTTTTTTTTTCTATACAACTAATGAGAAAGAATTAAAACAAGCTTAACTAAACAGAAGTATAATTATTATTTAAATTAAAGAGATTTAGTTTGATAAGTGAATTTTCATAGATCTGATTATCCAAATCTGTGAGGGTCTTACCTAAAACTTTAAAGCTTGTTGATGAGGTTTTTGTCCAGTAGTTTGACTGTGTGTTTGCTTAGATAGCAGAGGTTTACAAGGATAATAGTAAGTTCACTGGTTGTATTGTTCATCAATATATATTTAAATGTTTTACCAGCACATCAAATTTTAAGTAACCAAAGTTTTCTTACATATTTGAAATGTTATATTACTTATACCACAGTATTATTTGTCAACGTTTTTCAACGATACAACTAAAGATATATATGATTTTAAACTCTTTACATAATTAAGCACATATTATGGCTGCAAAATATCTTTTACTATAATTAAGCAGCCGTAATAATACATTACAATATGACTGATAATACAAACTTGGAACTTTAACGGCATCGTGAGCTCCGTTAGCGTGAGAAATTACCACGGGAAGTTAAACATTTCTGTGTGAGAAATTAACACTAGACGTTAAACATGTCAGCGTGGGGAACTAACACTAGATGTTAAACATGTAAGTGTGAAGAACTAACACCGCGTGTTAAACATGTCTGTTTGAAGAACTAGCACTGACTTTAAACATCTTAGCGTGAGAAACTACCATTGGACCTTTTAAACATGTTACCATGAGGAACTAACACTGGACGCTAAACATGCCAGCGTGAAGAACTAACACTGGACGCTAAACATGCCAGCATGAAGAACTAGCCTTGGACGTTAAACATATTAGCATGAGGAACCAACATTGATGTTAGACATATAAGAGTGAGGAACTAATACTGGGTGTTAAACATGTTAGTGTGAGAAACGAGCATTGGATGTTTAACTTGTCAGCATAAGGAAATAACACTGGATGTTAAAATGTAATCGTAAGGAACTAGCAATGAGTGTTAAACATGTAAGGGTGAGTAACTAATACTGGGTGTTAAACATATCAGCGTGCGGAACTAGCCTTGAATGTTAAACATGTCCACGTGAGGAACTATCATTGGGTGTTAAACATGTTAGCGTTAGGAACTAACACTAGATGTTAAACATGTCCGCGTAAGGAACTATCATTTGACTTTAAAAATGTCTACGTGAGGAATTATCACTGGACATTAAATATTTCAGTATCAGAAATTATCACTGGACGCTAAACATCTCAGCGTGAAGAACTAACTTCGGACGTTAAACGAGTCAACGTGGAGAATTAAACTGGACGTTAGACATGTCAGTGTGAGGAAATAAAACCGGACTCTAAATATGTCAGTGTGAGGAAATAAAACTGGACGTTAGACATGGCAGTGTGAGGAAATAAAACTGGACTCTAAATATGTCAGTGTGAGGAACTAACCTCGGACGTTAAACGTGTCAACGCGGAGAATTAAACTGGACGTTAGACATGTCAGTGTGAGGAAATAAAACTGGACTCTAAATATGTCAGTGTGAGGAACTAAAATTGGATGTTAAATATAGCAGCATAAAGAACTAGATTTGGGTGTTAAACATTTCTTCGTAAGAAATTAATACTAGATGTTATACACGTCAGCGTTTGGAATTAACACTAGGTGTTAAACGTGTCTGTATGAGAAATTATCATTGGCTGTTAAACGTATGTGCGTGATAAGGTATCACTGGCGTTAAACATCTTAACGTGTTTCTGAAAAACTATCATGGGACCTTAAACTAGCATTGAGTGGTTTAACATATCAGACTGAGGAACTAAACTGGGTGTTAAAATGTTAGCGTTAGAAACTATCACTGGGTGTTAAACATGTCAGGGTGAGGAACTAGCTCTGGTCGTTAAACATGTCAACGTGAGGAATTACATTAGGTTTTAAATATGCCTGCGTGAGAAAATAACACTGTACGTTAACGTGTCAGCGCGGGTAAATTACACAAAATGTTAAACGTGTCTGCATGAGAAATTACCACTGGACGTTAAACATGTAAGTGTGAGGAACTAACACCGGGTGTTAAACATATCACAGTGAGGAACTATCATTGGACGTTAAACATGTGTGTATGAGGAACTAACATTGGGTGTTAAACATGTGTGCATGAGAAACTATCATTGGACTTTAAACATGTCAGCATGAGGAACTAACATTGGCTGTTAAACATATCAGAATGAGGAATTAACACTGGGTGTTAAACATTTCAGCGCAATAAACTAACAATGCCTTAAACATTTCAGCGTGAGAAATTATCACTGGACGTTAAACATGCCATCGTGAGGAACTAAACGCTGGACGTTAAACATGTCAAAGTGAGAATCTGACACGGGATCTGAAACTTTAATACTGGATTTTAAATATTAGCGTGAAAAACTAACACTGGGTATTAAACTTGTCAGCCTGGTAAACTAACGCTGGACCATGGAAACTGCTACTTTTATTTCTTAATATCTTAGTAAACTTTAATTGTAGAAATTATAACGAGTCAAAAAATCTGAATATCGTAGTTTGAAGGTTCTCGCGGCTTAGAAATCAGAAATACAGTAAGAAAGATAAGTCGCTGTTACAGATCGTAATCCATGATTGTCTGAATACCACAACGATTCCTTATGTTTTATTACACTTATAACTGGCAAAACTATTCGTATAAACTGTAAGATTGAAAAGATAAGTCGCTGTTACAGATCGTAATCCATGATTGTCTGAATACCACAACGATTCCTTATGTTTTATTACACTTATAACTGGCAAAATTATTCGTATAAACTGTAAGATTGAAAAGCAACAACATACCTTTACTACTGATCAAATTGATACTTCATTTTACTTATAATATATTTTACAGGTTTGGGGGAAAAAAGAATTTAGCATCACTACTATATTCTCTTTAATAATAAAGCATCTTGCAACTATCGAGATAACAAGGAAGACATCCGGTTTAACATTGAAGGCACAGGATATTGTTATTAGGAACCCTTTTGTGTTCTATTATACCCCTTCAATTATATTTCGAAATTTTATTAAGATTACCGCATGCTGCTGCTTATCTAGAATTTTTTTTTTCAAAGAGAAAATACCTTTTGTAAAGAACAATTCTCATTTTGGAACTTAGCATGAATAGCCACGTTTGTGTTTCTCATTTTGGAACTTAGCATGAATAGCAACGTTTGTGTTTCTCATTTTGGAACTTAGCATAAATAGCAACGTTTGTGTTTCTCATTTTGGAACTTAGCATAAATAGCAACGTTTGTGTTTCTCATTTTGGAACTTAGCATGAATAGCAACGTTTGTGTTTCATTCCTCTTAAATAAAACAAAATTTATTTTCCATCAGTTTTTCTCGAGGATTCTTTATTTTCACAAAATTTCATATTTATAAACAGAAGCTACTTTATAGGAGAAGCATATGTCGGGTGATTAATTAACTGTCTGTACATCACTCTATGTTATATGCTAATGTTGGTCATAATTCGTTATTAATCATTGTGGTGAGAATGATACGAAAGTAATACTTTTTTAACTTATTTTACAATTAATATTCTTTATAATTTAGCACAGACTTTTGTGAAACGCAAGTTTGAAAAAGAAATATATATTTTTGTCGATAATATATAAAAGACAAGTCTTGTGAACAGCTGAACTTTACGTTATTACAAACGTAACGGCCATACTACATTTAACTTTTACAACTAACAATGTTTGAGAACAATAACTAACAGATCTCGCAATAAATAGTTGTATGATCATAATACATTAAAGACAATATGTTCTAACATAACAAATTGATTATCTTTAAAACAAACCTCTATTTACTCTGAAAGTTGATGTCTTTTCACGTTGATGAAAACAATTCAGTGCGAAGTTGTTACTAAATTTTAAATCAAATAAGTAGATAATAATTAATCGCCAACAATTTCAACTATTATTTATTATGCCTATATAACCTGTTACACCTGATTTAACATGAATTATCTACTTTAAAAGGAATTAATTAGGACACTCTACGAGTGTTGCTCAATGATCTCACAACTTGCGCTGTGAATTTCGTTGATGCCAGTATAAATTCTCTTGAGACTTTGTATATATTTTTACTATGACAAACGCTGTAGGCATATTCTGGCCCTTAATTTCACAAGAGTTTAATTTCTTTGTAACCAAACAGTGAAAAATGTAATCTAACACTGGTTGTAATGACCCAAGGCAAAACACTATATTCTCTTCTGAGAACGTCGTATTACAGATTGTTTTACACACTTCCTTTTGTGCTTGGAGAAAAAACATAACAATGTAAAAAATGAACGATAGAAAAACTTGTTAATTTTAAAGTTCTACGTTGAGTAGTGAACTCTTATTAAATCTAAATATCACTTAATAACGCCAAGAAAAACTGATTTTATCATATGAAATCTGTATTTATGAAACGTTCTGTAAATAATAAATGACTTTTCTATGGTAATATGAGCGGTAATTTGGTTTAAGTGTCAGAAACGTTTTAAAAATCTAAGAACTTCACGTTTCTAATATTTAATAGAGTTACATAACAAATAACAGTTATTATCAATTTAAAGTTTAAGTATAGAGAACAGTGGTAGATAAATGTTAATTTTGTATACCAACAGACAACTGTCAGTTACAACAGTGGTAGAAAAACAACCACACAACCATCCTAGAATTGTTAGTAAGCACAATGATCTTATTAAGTTTGCTTAAATATGGTATACGAAAATCCAAAAACCCTCTCTCTCTTCTACTGTAATTATAATCATGTGTAATACTGATGTAACGTACCTGACTCTAGTTTAACAATTAATACACTTAACATTCTAAATAACAAAACAAATACAATCAGCAACAAAAGATGATAAAGTCAACAAATAACTTATACTTTATTTATATATAAGTTTGGTCGGGCGTGTCTTTCGTGTGATCTATCAAGTATCTATTAACGTATACAGTACCATCTTTATAGTAAACATGACACTGTTCAAGGGCACGTTAAGATCGAGAAGTCATTGCCTTATTTTCTGCAGTATCATTAAAGTTAATACAGTTCCCAAAGATCCTGACAATCTGGACACTCCATTACAATAGTCTACGTCACAAGTACATACTCTCCTCTTCCACGCGATCTTATTTGTAACTTCACAATTGTTTACTATTTGGACGTCTCCATTAACACAGTTTCTTCTCCAGTGTTCCAAGTTACCTAAAAATGAAAAGTATTTATATAGAAGTATGTTTGAGAGAAATGGTTTTATACCGTATACACTCTAAAAGATCAAAACCTAAGCTATACAAACTTTTGATTAGAAAAAACGGGATCTATTGCTATAATTTTAAACGTTTAACGTACTTGTATTCGTGAACTCAATTAAATGATCTAAAACCTGTGTTAGAAATGTTTACATATTTGTTTTCCGTAACAAGAAAATAGAATAATTAGCAAACTGATTCTAGATTTATATATAAAGTTCTTAGACACCAAAATATATCACAAATATTCAAGTTAGTTTCAAGTTATGTTATCACTCATTCTATGTTTCGTGCCATAAGACATGAAACATTCTAGTTTGAATGCAAGAAACAATTACAAAAGTTTCATTAAATACATAGATTATCTCAAGAAAGATCAAGAGAAACTTAGCTTATAAAACCCACATTCATTAAATTTATCTGTCGTTTACCTGGTAATTAATTACAAGATCTATTATTATGTACATAATAAACATATCTACAGTTTAGTACTTTTAAAATCAAAAGTTGTATTATTTTGTACCAATAAATTGATAAGCGGTTGTTTCATTGGAAAACAAAAGGAAAAGTAATTATTACCGATAAAAAGATAGAAATGGATCATTTACTCGTCGAGAACAACAATTTTGTTCTCATGACTGTTTACTACCCACAGTAGTTACAGCAACAGGCGCCAGGAAGTTATTCATCCCGTTGACAACGGCTAAAAGCTCTTGGTTTTATATTTAAAATTAATAACCGCTTTAGCTGAAAATGTAAGTGGAACGGAAGTAACCTGACCCTATGTGGAACGGAAGTAACCTGACGCTATGGTTTCATTTGTTAATTACCTTTGTTGATATAGAAGAAAATGGAAACCAAAGTACGATAACATTCTTGTAACTGCGTAACGGAAATTAAATATTTCATTTAGAAATTAATAGTTCTAACATGCCATACTCTCAAAACATATGAAAAACAGCGAAATATTATAATCAGCTGAGACCTAAAACTTTGAGCGGTATCAAATCCCACTGCCGAATAGCAAGATGTCCTATGTTGATAGTATAATCATAAGTATTATAGTATAATAGTATAATCATAAGTATTACAGTATAATAGTATAACCATAAATATTACAGTATAACAGTATAATCATAAGTATTATAGTATAATAGTATAATCATAAGTATTACAGTATAATAGTATAACCATAAGTATTACAGTATAATAGTATAATCATAAGTATTATGGTATAATAGTATAATCATAAGTATTACAGTATAATAGTATAATCATAAGTATTATAGTATAATAGTATAATCATAAGTATTATAGTATAATAGCATAATCATAAGTACTATAGTATAATAGTATAATCATAAGTATTACAGTATAATAGTATAATCACAAGTATTATGGTATAATAGTATAATCACAAGTATTACAGTATAATAGTATAATCAGAAGTATTACAGTATAATAGTATAATCATAAGTATTACAGTATAATAGTATAATCACAAGTATTACAGTATAATAGTATAATCACAAATATTACAGTATAATAGTATAATCAGAAGTATTACAGTATAATAGTATGATCATAAGTATTACAGTATAATCATAAGTATTATAGTATTATAGTATAATCATAAGTATTATAGTATAGTATTATAGTATAATCATAAGTATTATAGTATAATCATAAGTATTATAGTATAATCATAAGTATTATAGTATTATAGTATAATCATAAGTATTA